GAGTGTTTGGAGAAAAACACCAACTAATCATTAGCTCAGCATGCTGGGAGAAGTTGGAGCAGAAAAGTCTTTATCAAGGTTACAATAAGCTTCCAGCTGCTGTGGATGAACAAATAATGAGTATCAATAGATGTTTTGTAATGTGAGTTTATTGTATCCTTGAATCAACGATACAGTCAGTTTGAGATGCTGTTTACAGGCATGCGGGTTTCACGTGAGGAGAACAAAGGCAAACTTTATATAACACCGCTCCACATCTGTCTCTGCTTAAACAGCTGCAGCCAGTTTCCTTCATCATATTGAGCAGCCAGACAACACGAAAATGTACTCCTAATGAGCACTCTGGTTGTCCGTGTAAAAAGCCGATTCTGAATTCACAGTTGTGAGCTGAAGTTCACATGCACTCATCATGAGCATGAGTTTCATGGTAGTTTTGGGCTCTGACTTCGTTGAACTGTTCTTTTTGTAGAATGAAATGACTGTACAGCAGATATCTTTAATGAACAAACAAGAATCCATGTGTTTTGTATTTCCTCTAGTTGACACAGATTCAAAAGTATGCGTATGGCCTCAGATATACACATATACCGCCACTAATATTTGATTTAATGTCTGTTAGCAAGTTGCACTTCGACCAGATGTTTTTGGTAGCCATCAGTAAATCTTGGCTGGATATTTGACTACTGTGGGAAATTTCCTGGTGACACGTTTTCAACAGTTACATTATAAAATGAAGTAGGATATCTCCCTCTCTTTTTATAGTCTGGTAACCATTCCTCTGATCATATGTCTGAGTCAAGTCAACAGTCCTCACCTGTTTGTGCAAAAGAAGAGTGAGATGCCTCACCTTTTTTTGAGCGTGCTCAGTGGTTGACTTTATTAAGCACTGATAATCAAACGGCAGATATCGCTGAGTGGGATGGGAAAGTTTGGCTATGTTGTACACCCTTGTGGTCATTTAAAACATTAACACAGACATTCTTTGTTTGTTTGTTTTTATCCTAATTCATCTTAAACACATCATCTTTGAACTCTATTACCTTATACATTTATTTGTCAAATTTAATGTCAGAGCTTCTAATAAGCTGCAGGAATGCTGTGTGAGTGGAGAACAGCCAGGTGTCTGATAAACCTCCATGGGTGCCGCTGAAAACAGTCACTTTGACTGTAAACATGTTTCCATTTCTCACTTCACTCTTTTGGCATTTAAGTTTTTTATTGATTTTGCAACATATACTTAAACCTGTATAAGAGGGGAAAAAACAAACAAAAAAAACACCCACAAGAAAACTGCTGTTGTACACCTCTGCCCTTACAAGTCTAAAAGAAAGAAAAGAGTAACTAACAATGGGTTCCAAGAGAAGAAACACAGAAATGGGCAAATAAAATTGACGGTTAGATAACATTTGGACCGGTGGTCACAGTTAACAGTCCTTCAAATTACAATAATACAGTTAAAATCCTGTTTGCTTCAAATAGCTCCAAAAGTAGTCCCAATGTTCATCTTTGACTTCTGTGTCATTTTTAAGTTTATTCAGCATGGACTCATAGGAAGCAGTCTCTACCGTTGCTCCAGTCTTTCAGTTCAGGACGTACTGTAGTCTTCCAGTGCCTAAGGATAATCCTCGATGCAGTTACCAGTCCAACCATAACAACCGTAAAAATATTATTGTGAGTTCTTGGAATATGAGAACGGTCTCCTAACAAGCACAATTCAGGAGTTAAGGGCACTTCTGATCCTGAACAACCTTTTAAGAGTGTGATGACTTCCTTCCAAAAAGGAGCTATAAGGGAACATTCCCAAAAACAATGTAGGAAAGTCCCCGCCTCAATTTTACATTTCCAACAGAAATAGTCAGGCATAAGCTTCATACGATGTAATCTTGTTGGAGTATGATAAAATCTATGCAGAATTTTATACTGTATGCATTTGCTCCTCGCCTCCTTAACATAAATCCCATTTTCCGCCAAAATGCCCATCCATTTTTTGTTTGGAATTGGTGCATTTAAATCTTTCTGCCACAAAGTTTTAATTTTCGAACATTCCCCACTTCTATTATCGTTTACCAACCTGTAAAAACATGATGCTGTGTGGTGCTCCTGAGGCATATTTATAAAATTTAGAACAAGATTTTCATGTCCCCTTCTGAACTTCGACGTCACACAATGTCTAATTTGCAAATATCTCCAGAAATTTTCCTTCCCTTCCAATTTGTATGTTTGAACAAGGTCTCTATAGGACATAAATTTCCCATCTTTAAATAAGTCGCTAATAACAATTATGCCATGAGACTGCCACAATTTCCAAAACACAATTTTTTTTCCTATACAAATAGCTGGATTGTTCTAAAGAGATGAGTAAAACTGCACATGAGGTGATATTTTAAGAATTCTATGTATATTGAGCCAAACCTGGGCAGAATGAAACAAAATTGGGTTCGTTGAAGTGCAGCTTTGAGACAACATACCTTTTGGATCAAAAGGAGTATAAATCTCAGACTCTATACTTAGCCATTCCTGTCCAGCTTGATTTATTCCCCAGTAAATAACCAATTTTGCCATCTCGAATGAGACTGAATATAATCTTGGATCGGGTAAACTTAAACCACCCTTCTCCCTTCTCTCATATAATTTAACCCTGGAGAACCCATGAGGTCAGATCCGACCCCATTGGTTTAAACCCATGGGGTCGGATCTGACCCCATGGGTTCTCCAGGGTTAAGCATATAATTTACTTAGCTTGATTCTTGCCCTTTTCCCATCCCACAGAAACTGCTTAATTAAGTTCAATTGAATTAAATTTTATTTATATAGCGCCAAATCACAACAAAAGTCGCCTCAAGGTGCTTTATATTGTACAGTAGATCGCACAATAATAGATACAGAGAAAACCCA